ATCAACTCCTAAATATCTGAAAACATTCACTTCTTCCATACTCCCTCTCTCCAATGTGACATCCAATTTTTCTTATCAATGTTCACTTTCAACTTTCTACTATTACACATCCTCCCAAACTCATCCACTAACCTTTGCAATTTTTCTTTAGAATCTCCCATAAGCACAGTATCATCAGCATCATCAGCAAAAAGTAACTTTAATCTTTAAGTTTTCCCGAAATGCTCAGCATACAGAGGGGCTTTTGGCATGTACACCCAACTATTATATTCCTCTGTACAACCATGTAATTTGTCAAAATAAAAAATCTAAGCAAATCTGATCTAATCTAATGTAAACTGTGTCAACTCCCATTTTGTATTTGATTCCCCATAATTTAATCCCACCCCTCTCCCCAACACCCTAGCATTTACTTCTTTTACAACCCCATCTATGAATATATTAAACAACTATGGTGACATTACACATCCCTGTCTAAGACCTACTTTTACTGGGAAGTAATCTCCCTCTCTTCTACACACCCTAACCTGAGCCTCACTATCCTCATAAAAAGTCTTAACAGCATTTACTAACTTACTACCTATTCCATATACAATGGACCCCCGGTATTCGATGTTAATCCGTTCCTGAGAGCTCATCGAATACCGAAAATATCGAAAACCAAATCAATTTTCCTCATAAGAAATAATGGAAATCAAATTAATCCGTGCAAGACACCCAAAAGTATGAAAAAAAAAATTTTACTCCATGAAATATTAAGTTTAATGCAGTAGAATAATTACAATAACAATAAAATAATTGACACTTACCTTTAATGAAGATCTGGTGATGATTGATGGGATGGGAGGAGGGGAGATGTGTTAGTGTTTAGAAGGGGAATCCCCTTCCATTAGGACTTGAGGTAGTAAGTCCTTTTCCGGGGTTACTTCCCTTCTTCTTTTAATGCCACTAGGACCAGCTTGAGAGTCACTGGATTTCTGTCGCACAACATATCTGTCCATAGTGGCCTGTACCTCCCGTTCCTTTATGACATTCCTAAAGTGTTTCACAAAGTGTCAGTGTAATAGTCACCAGCACGGCTTGCAATAGCTGTGTTAGGGTGATTGTCATCAAAAAAGGTTTGCACTTTAAGCCACATTGCACACATTTCCTTAATCTTTGAAGTAGGCAACTTCTTCAATTTCTCTATCCCCTCCTCTGAAGCAGTTTCCTCAGGTGTGGCCTCTTGCTGTTGAAGATGATCTAGCAGCTCATCAGTGGTTAGTTCTTCACTGTCCTCCTCCACCAACTCTTCCACATCCTCCCCACTAACCTCCAACCCCAAGGACTTTCCCAATGCCACAATGGATTCCTCAACTGGCATAAGATTCTCAGGGTTAGCCTCAAATCCTTCAAAATCCCTTTTGTCTACACATTCTGGCCACAGTTTCTTCCAAGCAGAGTTCAAGGTCCTCTTAGTCACTCCCTTCCAAGCCGTACCTATAAGGTTTATACAATTGAGGATATTAAAGTGATCCTTCCAAAACTCTTTTAGAGTCAGTTGAGTTTCTGTGGTCACTATAAAGCACTTTTGAAACAGCTTTTGTGTACAGTTTCTTGAAGTTGGAAATGACCTGCTGGTCTGTTGGCTGCAGGAGAGGAGTGGTATTAGGAGGCAAAAGCTTGACCTTAATGAAGCTCATGTCCCCAGAAAGTCACTCTGCCAAGTCTGTAAGATGACCAGGGGCATTGTCTAATACCAGGAGGCACTTAAGGTGTAATTTCTTTTCAGTTAGGTAATTTTTCACAGTGGGGGAAATGCTTGGTGTAACCAGTCATAGAAAAAGTCCCTAGTGACCCATGCCTTACTGTTTGCCCTCCACAGCACACGCAAATTAGCCTTGAGGACATTGTTTTTCCTGAGCACTCTGGGAGTTTCAGAGTGATACACCAATAAAGGCTTCACTTTGCAATCACCACTAGCATTGGCACACATGAGAAGAGTAAGCCTGTCTCTCATAGGCTTATGTCCTGGGAGTGCCTTTTCCTCCTGAGTAATGTAGGTCCTGTTTGGCATTTTCTTCCAAAAGAGGCCTGTTTCGTCGCAATTAAACACTTGTTCAGGTTTCAGTCCTTTACTGTCTATGTACTCCTTGAATTCCTGCACATATTTTTCAGCTGCTTTGTGGTCCGAACTGGCAGCCTCACCATGCCTTATCACACTATGTATGCCACTACGCTTCTTAAATCTCTCAAACCAACCTTTGCTGGCCTTAAATTCACTCACATCATCACTAGTTGCAGGCATTTTTTTAATTAAATCGTCATGCAACTTCCTAGCCTTTTCACTTATGATCATTTGAGAGATGCTATCTCCTGCTATCTGTTTTTCATTTATCCATACCAATAAGAGTCTCTCAACATCTTCCATCACTTGCAATCTCTGTTTCGAAAACACAGTTGAACCTTTGGCAAGAACAGCTTCCTTGATTGCCGTTTTGTTGCCCACAATAGTAGCGATGGTTGATTGGGGTTTATTATACAACCTGGCCAGCTCGGAGACACGCACTCCACTTTCATACTTAGCAATGATATCTTTCTTCATCTCTATAGTAATTCTCACCCTTATTCCTGTAGGGTTGGCACTAGAAGCTTTCTTGGGGCCCATGGTCACTTATTTTGCAGATAAAATCACCAAAAACACTGTAATAATACGAAATGTTCCAATTGTATGCTTGGATGTTACCGCGGAGGCTGGCTGGTAAACAATGCCACCGGCGGAACATGTGAGGCTGGCTCAGGCCGCACATTAGACGCGTCTCGGACGAACAGCGTTGAGCGGGTTTTTTAGCGGTATGCGAGGCAAAATCTTAGCGATAAAATGCATCGGTATGAGGATTTAACGCTATGTGATGCCAACGGTATGCGGGGGTCCACTGTAGTTATGATTTTTGTCTAATAGTACATTGGAATTGGCTGAAAATAGGGCTCAAAGTGGGCAAAATCGCCAATACATAAACATCGTTGAGACCGCTAACTTCACGAGAGCATAATTCTGTAAGTTTTCCATCAAATTTCATACTTTTGGTGGCATTATGATCAGGAAAAGATTCTCTATCTTCTCATAAGAAAAATAATATTTTTTTTTTTTTTTTTTTTTTTTTTTTTTTTTTTTTTTTTTTTTTTTTTTTTTTTTTTTTTGAAATTTGGGCGACCCTGAGAACAAATCTGGGAGAGGGCCTGGGGACCCTGAAAGGGTTAAAAGGCTCCCCATTTTCATTTACCCCTGGCACCCCAAATTTACCTACTACTACCTCCGCAACATTTTTACCCACTTCAGCATTGAAATCCCCAACCACAAGTACTCTCTCACTTGGTTCAAAACTCCCCATGTAGTCACTCAACATTTCCCAAAATCTCTCTCTCTCCTCTACACTTGTCTCTGCTCCTGGTGCATAAATGCTTACTATAACCCCTTTTCACATCCAACCCTTATTTTACTCTCCATAATCCTTGAATTTATACATTTATATTTCTTCTTTCCCTGCCATAACTTATCCTTCAACATTATTGCTACTCCTCCTTTAGCTCTAACTCTATTTGAAACCCCTGATCTAATCCCATTTATTTCTCTCCACTGAAACTCTCCCACTCCCTTCAGCTTTGTTCCACTTAAAGCCAGGACATCCAGCTTCTTCTCATTCATAACGTCCACAGTCATCTCTTTCTTATCATTCGCACAACATCCACGCACATTCAAACATCCCACTTTGACTGTTTTCTTCTTTTTCCTTTTAGTAGGCTATACGGGAAAAGGGGTTACTAGCCCATTGTTCCCGGCATTATAGTTGGCTTTTACAACACCCATGGCTTGTGGAGGAAAGATTCTTATTCCACTTTCCCATGATGTAAAAGGAAAAGCAATAAGAACAAGAACTATTAAGAGAAAATCAGAGAAAACTCGGGTGAATGTGTATACATAAACGTGTACATGTATGTGTAGTGTGACCTAAGTGTAAGTAGAAGTAGCAAGACATACTTGAAATCTTGCAGGTTTATGAGACAGAAAAAAGCCATCAGCAATCCTACCATCATGTAAAACAATTACAGGCTTTCGTTTTACACTCGGCAGGACGGTAGTACCTCCCTGGGTGGTTGTTGTCTACCAACCTATTACTATATATCTTCTTTCTTTCAACACATCGGCCGTATCCCACCAAGGCAGGGTGGCCCAAAAGGAAAAACGAAAGTTTTTCCTTTTACATTTAGTAATATATACAGGAGAAGGGGTTACTAGCCCCTTGCCCCTGGCATTTTAGTTGCCTCTTACAACACGCAATGCTTACGGAGGAAGAATTCTGTTCCACTTCCCCATGGAGGTAAGAGGAAATAAACAAGAACAAGAACTAGAAAGAAAATAGCAGAAAACCAAGAGGGGTGTGTATATATATGCTTGTACATGTTTGTGTAGTGTGACCTAAGTGTAAGTAGAAGTAGCAAGACATACCTGAAATCTTGCGTGTTTATGAGACAGACAAAAGACATCAGCAATCCTACCATCATGTAAAACAATCACAGGCTTTCGTTTTACACTCACTTGGCAGGACGGTAGTACCTTCCTGGGTGGTTGTTGTCTACCAACCTATTACTATATATACCCTTATATTATTATAAAAAGGCAAAATTTGTTTACTCGAGCAATTACTGTATTGGTGATATTATCCTCAGGCGAATAAGTTTAAAACCTTAGCATACACATGGTCAAACTTGAGTTTGTTAGTGCTGTGTTATTTTAAGTTATCCATAAATTAATCTTAACTTTCCTGAAATGTATTGCATAATTTGGGATTTTTCCTACAGGTTATCATTGTAAGAGTTTATGCAATAATCCCTGCTCAACCAGGAGCTTTCCATATATATCATCCAGTTTTGCAAATAATATGTACAGTGTGGAAATAAACCACATTTATTGTTATTATTATTATTATAAATTCAGTCACATTCTGTTAATTCTTTTCCAGGTGATGACTTTACCATCATTCAGCAAGAGATATTGATGATGAAGGATTGCCGGCATCCAAACATAGTGGCCTATTTTGGGAGTTACCTTCGCCGAGACAAACTCTGGATATGTATGGAGTTTTGTGGAGGTGGATCTTTGCAAGATATATATCACAGTGAGTGTCAGTGCTATGTAAGATTTATTATATTAATTTTCAGGTAGGATGGCTCATATTAACTAAAAATAATTGATTTAATAAAATGTAATTTAAATTTACATCTAATCTTTTTTTTTTCAAATGGCTATCTAGCCTGTTCATAACCAAAATCATAGCCTATAAAGAAAACAAAGTTCACTGCATATCACCTATAAGCACTCAGGTTTGTTGCTATAATATGCACTTGAAGTTATCACACAAGCAGTTGTAACTGTCAAAGATTAGTGTAAGGATCGTTATGAACAGGCAAGGAGGGTATTGAATTTATATAAAAGTGTACTTTCATGCCAGCAACTCTTATCTCATATTGGGAAATGAAGGAATATCTTACAGATGCTCACCAATATATTCCATCGTGTCTGCATTATATATCTGATCAGGAGTTAAATTTTGTTCCTCCAACAACATACTAGCTCTTTTCTCTTACACAAGTATTGCTCGCATGTATGCTGCAGTGTAAAAACTTGATCCGTGGTGCTGTACTGTATTTTCTTTCCTTTTTAAATGCGTTATTCTTCATTAAAATAAAATGCACCATCTTTATCTTTGTCTAATTTTGCTGCTGTATTTCAGTGGTAATACCAGTCTTAATTATCTTAGGTTTCTAATTTGTCTTAAATATATATTGTATATGTGATGGGTAGATGTTAATATATTAATATTGTAATTTTCAGTCATTGGCCCTCTACAAGAACGACAAATTGGATACATGTGTAGAGAAACACTCAGGGGGTTAGAATATCTTCATCGCATGGGAAAAATGCATAGAGACATAAAGGTAAACACATTTGAGAACAGTTATAATTGTGTATGTAAAAAAAGTTTCAGGTAACAAGTAAATTCATAATAGAAAGATATGAGTTTAAATGCATGTTGCTGTCAAGTCTTGTGATTATCTGTTTGACTTCTCTGTAAATTTACAAGAGAATACCTATGCTAGTGGAACCTTGTATTCATTGTTATTTTATCATATAACTTTTCAGAAGAGGGTTGGATAAGTTTTAAAAATGCAGTATTAGTATGTGGGGCAGAAGTTTGTGGTTTTAGGAGGGTGGGTGCAGGAGGAAAGAGGAGTGATTGGTGGAATGATGAAGTAAAGGGTGTGATAAAAGAGAAAAAGTTAGCTTATGAGAGGTTTTTACAAAGCAGAAGTGTTATAAGAAGAGCAGAGTATATGGAGAGTAAAAGAAAGGTGAAGAGAGTGGTGAGAGAGTGCAAAAGGAGAGCAGATGAAAGAGTGGGAGAGGCACTGTCAAGAAATTTTAATGAAAATAAGAAAAAATTTTGGAGTGAGTTAAGCAAGTTAAGAAAGCCTAGGGAAAGTATGGATTTGTCAGTTAAAAACAGAGTAGGGGAGTTAGTAGATGGGGAGAGGGAGGTATTAGGTAGATGGCGAGAATATTTTGTGGAACTTTTAAATGTTGAGGAAGAAAGGGAGGTGGTAATTTCATGCACTGGCCAGGGAGGTATACCATCTTTTAGGAGTGAAGAAGAGCAGAATGTAAGTGTGGTGGAGGTACGTGAGGCATTATGTAGAATGAAAGGGGGTAAAGCAGCTGGAACTGATGGGATCATGACAGAAATGTTAAAAGCAGGGGGGGATATAGTGTTGGAGTGGTTGGTACTTTTGTTTAATAAATGTATGAAAGAGGGGAAGGTACCTAGGGATTGGAGGAGAACATGTATAGTCCCTTTATATAAAGGGAAGGGGGACAAAAGAGATTGTAAAAATTATAGGGGAATAAGTTTACTGAGTATACCAGGAAAAGTGTACGGTAGGGTTATTATTGAAAGAATTAGAGGTAAGACAGAATGTAGGATTGCGGATGAGCAAGGAGGTTTCAGAGTGGGTAGGGGATGTGTGGATCAAGTGTTTACATTGAAGCATATATGTGAACAGTATTTAGATAAAGGTAGGGAAGTTTTTATTGCATTTATGGATTTAGAAAAGGCAGATGATAGAGTGGATAGGAGAGCAATGTGGCAGATGTTGCAAGTATATGGAATAGGGGGTAAGTTATTAAATGCTGTAAAGAGTTTTTATGAGGATAGTGAGACTCAGGTAGTAGGTTGGTAGACAGCATCCACCCAGGGAGGTTCTATCGTCCTGCCAAGTGAGTGTAAAACGAAAGCCTGTAATTGTTTTACATGATGGTAGGATTGCTGGTGTCCTTTTTTCTGTCTCATAAACATGCAAGATTTCAGGTACGTCTTGCTACTTCTACTTACACTTAGGTCACACTACACATACATGTACAAGCGTATATATACATACCCCTCTGGGTTTTCTTCTATTTTCTTTCTAGTTCTTGTTTATTTCCTCTTATCTCCATGGGGAAGTGGAACAGAATTCTTCCTCCGTAAGCCATGCGTGTTGCAAGATGCGACTAAAATGCCGAGAGCAAGGGGCTAGTAACCCCTTCTCCTGTATATATTACTAAATTTGAAAGGAGAAACTTTCGTTTTTCCTTTTGGGCCACCCCGCCTCGGTCGGATATGGCCAGTGTGTTGAAAGAAAAGTGAGGCTCAGGTTAGGGTGTGTAGAAGAGAGGGAGACTACTTCCCGGTAAAAGTAGGTCTTAGACAGGGATGTGTAATGTCACCATGGTTGTTTAATATATTTATAGATGGGGTTGTAAAAGAAGTAAATGCTAGGGTGTTCGGGAGAGGGGTGGGATTAAATTATGGTGAATCAAATTCAAAATGGGAATTGACTCATTTACTTTTTGCTGATGATACTGTGCTTATGGGAGATTATAAAGAAAAATTGCAAAGGTTAGTGGATGAGTTTGGGAGTTCGTGTAAAGGTAGAAAGTTGAAAGCGAACATAGAAAAGAGTAAGGTGATGAGGGTATCAAATGATTTAGATAAAGAAAAATTGGATATCAAATTGGGGAGGAGGAGTATGGAAGAAGTGAATGTTTTCAGATACTTGGGAGTTGACGTGTCGGCGGATGGATTTATGAAGGATGAGGTTAATCATGGAATTGATGAGGGAAAAAATGTGAGTGGTGTGTTGAGGTATATGTGGAGTCAAAAAACATTACCTATGGAGGCAAAGAAGGGAATGTATGAAAGTATAGTAGTACCAACACTCTTGTATGGATGTGAAGCTTGGGTGGTAAATGCAGCAGCGAGGAGATGGTTGGAGGCAGTGGAGATGTCCTGTCTAAGGGCAATGTGTGGTGTAAATATTATGCAGAAAATTCGGAGTGTGGAAATTAGGAGAAGGTGTGGAGTTAATGAAAGTATTAGTCAGAGGGCAGAAGAGGGGTTGTTGAGGTGGTTTGGTCATTTAGAGAGAATGGATCAAAGTAGAATGACATGGAAAGCATATAAATCTATAGGGAGAGGAGAGTAGGATCGTCCTCAAAGGGTTGGAAAGAAGGTGATTGAAGGAGGTTATTGTGGGCGAGGGGCTTGGACTTCCAAGCATGGCATTGCATGAGCGTGTTGGATAGGAGTGAATGGAGACGAAATATGATAACTTGGGACCTGACGATCTGTTGGGAAGTGAGCAGGGAATATTTAAAATGAAGGAAAGATAGGGAAACCGGTTATTTTATATAGTCGGACTTGAGTCCTGGAATTAGGGAAGTACAATGCCTGCACTTTAAAGGAAGGGGGTTTGGGATATTGGCAGTTTGGAGGGATAATGTTTGTATCATAAGCGGTTATTTCATAAACTGTTGATTGAGACCTCTGGAAAGCAGGATAATGTTGATGTGTGAAAGTGTTGAATGATGATGAAGTATTTTCTTTTTTGGGGATTTCTTTCTTTTTGGAGTCACCTCCCATGGAGGATAGCTGACTTGTTGAAAAAAGAAAAAGAAAGAAAACATACAAAAGTAATAATTTTCTACAGTTACCCCCAATAACACATTTTCTCTTATGTTGGACTAGAGAAAATGTTATTCTTGCCATCACTCGTACAAGTCTGGCTACCACATCTCGTATTTATGTTTATTTATTCTACTGTAGAGTGTATTTACCATCTTTATGTTATGTATCGTGTTTATTGTATAATTTTGAAAAAAATATCATAGATGGATTAACCTTTTGAGGGTCGACAGGCTCTCTCCGAAACTCGTTCTCAGGGTCGGCCAAATTTAAAAAAAAAAAAATTATTTTCTCTTATGAAAAGATAGAGAATCTTTTCCTGATCATAAGGACACCAAAAGTTTGAAAATTGATGGAAAACTTACGGAATTATGCTCTCGCAAAGTTAGCGGTCTCGGAGATGTTTACGCATCGGCGATTTTGCCCACTTTGAGCCCCATTTTCGGCCAATTCCACTGTACTAGTCGACAAAAAACATGAATATTTCGCTAGAACTCCATTTTTTCTATCGAATGGGTGCAAGAAACCACCCATTTATGAAATTCAACTCTCAAGTACAGTGGTCAGAATTTAGCAATTTTGCCAATTTCACACAAATTTCAAAAGATGCCAATTTCTGAATACGGTCCAGAATAAACAAGAAAGACATTCCGGGCACTAAAATGACATTTCCTCTGGTCATTAGTCACGTCTCAAGGCCCCTCTTATATTCTTTTGCTTTCCACTTTGGATTTTTATTCTCACAAAAAATATAAGATTTACTGTTATGCAGACTACATAACTGCATTAGTGTAAAAAATGGTATAAATATTATTGGTGCACTTGTGAAGGAATAATAGACTCACCAGTTGACGTGTATTGCACTCTTGGCACGATTTGTTTACTTTTAAAATTTGGTAAAAATCGAACAGTTCTGCTACTTTGAGCTCAATTTCAAGGTATCTTTCATTGTAAAACCAGTCAAAATCATCTCAATTTTGTAATATATCTTCCATTCTATAAAATGAGACAAGAAAACTAGAATACAACAATAAATACCATACGAAAATACAGTGCAAATTCGCTGTTTTATTCCAAAAAAATGGTCAAAGTTTTTTTTTTCTCATTATGCACTGTGTGCTGCAGGATTTTTTTTAGATTGTGCCCACTGACCACATAGACCCATTCTTTCATATGAAGGCCTACCAGCTTTCTCCCACTAGATTTGAGGGCGCTAGAATTTAGGCGTACCAGTACGTCAAAAACCCTGGGTCGTAAGCCGTACTAGTACGTCCGAAACCCTCAAAGGGTTAATGAAAATGTGTATATTAACATAATATACGACATTAATGAGATTAGGTGATTATTATTACTAATATGGCATCACTCATACAAGTCTGGCTACCACATCTCATATTTGTTTGTGTATTCTACTGTGGGGTGTATTTATCATCTTTATATGTTATGTATTGTGTTTTTTATATAATTTTGAAAAAATATCATAGATGGATTAATGAAAATATGTATATTAACTTAATATGCAACATTTAATGAGACTCCATCATCATCATCATCCTCATCATATCATCATCATCATCATCATCATTATCATCAGTATCATCATTATCATCATTATCATATATCATCATCATTATCATTCATCATCATCATCATCATCATCATCATCATCATTATGTCTCGAGACATAAGACACTCTTATTGATTTTAATACGTACCTTCACGCCAGCACAGTGCATAAGTTTATTTAGGTACAGGTATACATAAGTATAATTATCAGAGTTCATCTATATATATATATAAAATATGAAATAACTTTTAAAAACACTTGAAATTTTGGAGTTTCCAGACATAATGGAGAGACTTAGTGCTTACCGATCTCAAAGAGAATGTAAACAAACCGGGTGGGGCACGGTGACCCTATTAGAAAGTCAGGTGGGGGGAGCCATATAGAGAGTTTTGGTCATAATTTGAAATGACCGTATTAGCGGAATGCTGTAAAGCGAAACGCCGTAAAGCAGGGCCCTACTGTACATCAACAATGATAAAAAAAAATACTGAAGTTCAAATTCAAGAGTGACAGTATGATCAGGATCTAGAAGAGAGATGTTCTTTCATCTGAGAGTTTACAGCATGAACAGACTCCTGACTTAACAGACACTGGTAACCTGTTATACGCTCTGGGAGCCACATAGGAATAGACTCTTTCTGCAAATGACCTCTCCTTAACAGTGCAAAATTCCATCAGTCTAAGAGGGTTCACAGTAATTCATAGAAATATTCCTGAGCCAGACATAAAGCATACAGACATATAAGCAAGATATTTGGGCTCGTTAAACTTGATAACTTTTAATTCAATTCTTGCCTTAATGAGCCAGTGCAGGTCATACAAGCAGGGTCTAGTGGGTGATGGGCTGGCTAAAACTGTTATTGATGTGATTAAAAATATTGCTCTGGAGTAGTCAAGTTCATTTCCAGTGTTTCCTTGTGTCTTGATTATTTTACTGCCATAATTTTTGCAGTTCACTTATGACTATTTTCTTCCAGGGAGCAAACATTTTGTTGACGGAGAATGGGGACGTGAAGCTTGCAGATTTTGGTGTATCTGCTCAAATTACTGCTACAATTAGCAAGAGGAAATCCTTTATTGGCACACCATACTGGATGGCTCCTGAGGTTTGGTGATAACAGTTCTTAAGTGAGATTTCTTTTTATACAAGCAGTTAAATGTCTTGAAGTATTAGTACTTCCCTTTAATCCCATTCTTTGAATGCCATTAAAAGTGTAAGTGAGGTCATTGGGAGAGTTCTTAAATTATCAACATTATCACATAGATCTTGCCTTTCAAATATTTTATGTCATGTTTAGTAGAAAAGACTATCCCTGATGCATAAATTTTTTATATATCTCCATAAAAATTAGTCATATTAATTACTTTTATTATGTATATTTTTATGACAATGAAGCTTAGGTATTTTATATACCTTCAAATGAAAGCTTACTGGTATAAGCATTGCCCATCATTATGTTCAACTCTTGATTTTCTTTTTGGTGTTTAATTTTGTTTCTGAAATACTGCAGATGTTTTTGCTATTCACTCATTTCATAAGTGGTGGAATTGTAATGTTGTATAATTGTATATAGAATTCCAAATGCTTACATTCCTGCCTTAATTGCCAGTTTCAGAAGCCTAGTGATCAATAGACAAGTCATTTAGTCAATGCTTGTGATTCTTAATATTGATCTCTGTCAGCATGTATTCCTGTCTACTAATATTGTACTTGAATCACTGAACTCTCAGAATATGCTTTTGTGCTTGACAGTATTTGGATCAATATACAATAGGGCCCTAACTTATGAACAGATTGTATTCCTGGTGTCTCAACATACAACTCGTTATTCACAACCCTGAGTCTATTATCCTATAGGTGGCAACATTGCAGTTTCGAAAGTAATTTGAATCATAATGTCTGTGAACTTATGGATTGACAGCTAATGAATGGGTGATGTTGATTTTTTTTTTTTTTTTTTTTTTTTTGTCAATACGAAGGATGGTTTTGTCTTGCACTTTGTAATTGCAGATTTGAGCATTAACTTGGGCATTCATAAGTCAGAACCCTGCTGTACAATATTAGTCCCATTAAAGTCAGGAATGATTGCAGACTGGTCGCTACTTATGGTGAATGCTAACCTCGCTAAAATGCTTCTATCAACCAAGCACAGTAAAGTTAAATTACCATAATCATGGATTTACCTTTACAATTGGTTTAAAGCAGAATAATCATGCCTTTTGCAAATGCCTGATCATTACGGCATAGTTTTAGATTCCTTACATGAGCAAAACACAAACACGAGATTCACAATTTTTGTGAAAGCTCTGGGCGAGTTTGATTATGATGTAATAGTTTAAAACGTAAGTGCTAAAGAAATTAACTGAAAAGCTTCACATGTAAGTTTTTAACTTTCTGAAAAACTGGATGGAGACCAATATCTTTGTCAACAAAGGAAAATCATAGACTTCTGCTGTGAAAATTTCCGTTTCTCAGAGCACACTATATGCCCTGATTCTTTCTCATTCTTAAACATCCTATCCAGATATTGTTAACATTTGAATGAGAGTGGCATCCACAAAGTGCACAACGAACCTCCAAGCTGATGTAAACAAAGTTTTCAAGTAGCATTATGCTGCCCCTCCCCCGCACTTGTACCAAAACACAAACACATATCATGGAAGATTATAATATATATATTTTTGCACTTGCTGAGGTTTTAATACTTTGGGCTGCGTTCTTTATGCTTAATCATGTCCCTCAGCCATGTAGAAAGACTCGCACACAAATTCTTGAGTGTTTGGGGAGGTATATTATTCCATACCTCATGTGGAGCAGCCTCCAGCCGTGGGATGGAACTGATAGCCCTGCCCAGTAAACTTTGTTTCACTATTGACCAGTAGGGTTTAGGTCTGGGGAATTGCCTGGCCAGTCATTAAAGAATCTCACTTCACAGTCCTTAAGCCATTGAACTACAGATTTGGCGGTATGACATGGTGCACCGTCCTGCATAAAAACTGTAAGCCCCACACTTGCCAAATGCCTAAGTAAATTGTCACACAATAACTCTAGGTAATTATACTGGCTCATATACTACTTTTTGGAAAGCACAAGGAGTTCAGCAACACTGAGCACTGAAACACCCCTAAACCATGAGCAAGTCTGGGTGTTTGGGGGTCTCACAGGTGTAGCGTGGGTCTAGCGGGTCACTACCTCTGGGCCGGTACACATGTCCCCCATGGTTATAGGTGATGGTGAAGGTTGCTTCATCACTTCAAAGTACTTCAGACCACTTGAGGATTCCAGTGAAGATATTTCTTTGCATTATCCAGCCTACATTTCTTCTGTGGCTTGGAGAGGATCAGTTTCTTAACCTGGCGGTGACTACCGTAGCCCAGTTCTAACACACATCTGTTAACATTTCTTACAGACACCTCTGAGAGAAGATGTGGATTCTTTTCTTTCAGTTCTCTAGTAGTTATCTTAGGTGTACTCTCTAACTGCTTCTTTAACCCGTAAATGGTCCAAATGTATATATACGTTTAGTGCCCTAAACGTATATATACATTTTATTTTTCCTGCCTTCAAATTTGGCACGATTGGCCTGAGATGCCTTGTCAGCATAGAATGGGTGCTAACACTTAATGTGCGCAGTATTAAAAAAATCTGGGACCACTTAGTACCTTGTGGGAGCACCAGTTCAAATGAGCACCAGCTAGAGCAAACAGCGCAGCAAATACTTGCGATTCACTAATTTCATGTAGTATTAACTCTCCCATTTTAAGAGGAAAGTGATTTTGACCCAGAGTTTAGTGGCTTTGAGGTGGATATGTGCAACATTTGTGCAACACCTTTTCAGAATGTCTTATAACCTATGCCCTAAGTAAAGAGAAACAATTCTGGCAGGCCAGCTGCTGGCGACCTGGCTCTATCTCCATTTGTCTGTCTGTATCTGTCTATCTCTGTCTGTCTCCATCTGTCTGTCTCTGTCTCTTTCTGTCTGTTTATCTCTGTCTCACAGGTACACAAATACAAGTATTCATAGTGTAAATTACCTAGGATAACCCAAAAAATCCAGACAAAGTGCTATACTCTGCTTGAAGATATGAGTAAAGGTGATAATGCAGTCTTGTGGCTCTCTCTGAGACAGAGAGCTAGATGGATAGACAGATAGACAGGGAGCTTGACAGACAGACATGTTTGTGTACCAGGGAAAACAAAGCAGGGCTGATGCTCATCAAATGTCACCTGTAATCTTTTCTTATCAAGTGTTATCACTGCACCCTCAAGTATGCTCATCAAACGTCAGCTCTTATCAGATGTTATCTCATCTTATCAGGTCACTGTCAGGGGTAGACTTTGTTTTTCATGCTTCAAGGGAACTTATTTTTTTTTTTTTAACAAGTCGGCCGTCTCCCACCGAGGCAGGGTGACTCAAAATGAAAGAAAATCCCCAAAAAGAAAATACTTTCATCATCATTCAACACTTTCACCTCACTCACACATAATCACTGTTTTTGCAGAGGTGCTCAGAACACAACAGTTTAGAAGCATATACGTATAAAGATACACAACATATCCCTCCAAACTGCTAATATCCCGAACCCCTCCTTTAGAGTGCAGGCATTGTATTTCCCATTTCCAGGACTCGAGTCCGGCTATACAAAAATAACCGGTTTCCTTGAATCCCGTCACTAAATATTACCCTGCTCACACTCCAACAGATCGTCAGGTCCCAAATACCATTCGTCTCCATTCACTCCTATTGAGCACGCTCATGCACGCCTGCTGGAAGTCCAAGCCCCTTGCCCACAAAACCTCCCTTACCCCTTCCTTCCAGCCTTTTCGAGGACGACCCCTACCCTGCCTTCCTTTCCCTACAGATTTATACGCTCTCCATGTCATTCTACTTAGATCCATTCTCTCTAAATGACCAAACCATCTCAACAACCCCTCTTCTGCCCTCTGACTCATACTTTTATTAACTCCACACCTTCTAATTTCCACACTCCGAATTCTCTGCATAATATTTACACCACACGTTGTTCTTAGACAGGACATCTCCACCGCCTCCAACTGCCTCCTCACTGCTGCATTTACAACCCAAGCTTCACACCCATATAAGAGTGTTGGTAACACTATATTTTCATACATTCCCTTCTTTGCCTCCATAGATAATGTTTTTTGTCTCCACATATACCTCAATGCACCACTCACCTTATTTCCTTAATCAATTCTGTGGTTAACCTCATCCTTCATAAATCCATCCACTGACATGTCAACTCCCAAATATCTGAAAACATTCACTTCTTCCATACTCCTCCTCCCCAATTTGATATCCAATTTTTCTTTATCTAAATCATTTGATACTCTCATCGCCTTACTCTTTTCTATGTTCACTTTCAACTTTCTACCTTTACACACACTCCCAAACTCTTCCACTAACCTTTGCAACTTAGTTTTTATCTTTTATAATTTCTTTATTTGCAAGTGCAAGTGTGTGCAAGAGTTTCATGTACATTGATTTGTATTAAGCAAACAGCTAAATATTTTTGGGGTCTGATGCATTTGATCTTATTGTTGAATGCATTACATTAAAACACCTTATTATTATACCCTGATCAGTACAGTATTGAATAGTATGGTATTTTTTTAACACACGTTAACTATACTATGCAAGGTATTGCTGTATAGGAAATTACAGTAGATTTACTGATTAATTTATTTTTTATTTTTTAAGCCCTTAAGGTGCTGATGACTTCAATTTATGCCAACTGGGGAAAATGCTGGGCACTTGCAACTTTACTAAAACAGTTTTTTGCCTACTACACTAAAGCAGGTAGTCACCAATCATCAGCTTTACTTTGAAAGCTATGATATCAAACCCAAATCTTCTATCAATGACTCACGAAATCGTAATGACACGATTGCAAACAAACCATACCACAGGCGGGATTTGAGCCCGCGGTCAGAGTCTCAAAACTCCAGACCGTCACATTAGCCACTGGACAGCTAGCCACAATAAGATTCGTCCAACTAGGTACATTTCTACACCATAGGAAGGTTAGCATAGGCACCACTGTGACCACAAATGCAAGTTTTTACAGACGAATCTCCTGCTAGTGTGGCCGTGACGAACTCTAGCTCAAGTCCCCTCCCTGCCGTCAACATGACTCACGGAATCGTAATGACACGATTGCAAACAAACCATCTCACTCTCTCACTCTCTCTCACTCTCACTCTCACTCTCTCTCACTCTCTCTCACTCTCTCTCACTCTCTCTCACTCTCTCTCTCTCTCACTCTCTCACTCTCTCTCACTCTCTTCACTCTCACTCTCTCACTCCCCTCACTCTACTCTCTCACTCTCTCTCACTCTCTCTCACTCTCTCTCACTCTCTACCTCACTCTCTCTCACTCTCTCTCACTCTCTCTCACTCTCCTCACTCTCTCTCACTCTCTCTCACTCTCTCTCACTCCTCTCTCACTCTCTCACTCTCTCTCTCTCTCTCTCTCCTCTCTCTCTCTCTCTCCACTCTCTCTCCTCTCTCTCTCTCTCTCTCTCTCTCTCTCTCTCTCTCTCTCTCTCCACTTTTCTCTCTCTCTCTCTCTCTCACTCTCTCACTCTCTCTCTCACTCTCTCTCCTCACTCTCTCTCTCCACTCTCTCTCTCTCTCTCTCCTCTCTCTCTTCTCTCACTCTCTCACTCACTCTCACTCTCTCTCACTCTCTCTCCTCACTCTCTCTCTCTCTCTCTCTCTCTCTCCTCTCACACACCCCTCACACACACACACACACCACACACCACACACACACACACCCCACACACACACACACACACACACACACACACACACACATACATACATACATATTCTTCTTTCAACACACCGGCCGTATCCCGCCAAGGCAGGGTGGCCCAAAAGGAAAAATTAAAGTTTCTCCTCTTACATTTAGTAATATATACAGAAGAGGTTACTAGCCCCTTGCTCCCGGCATTTTAGTCGCCTCTTACAACACGCATGGCTTACACAGGAAGAATTCTGTTCCACTTCCCCATGGAGGTAAGAGGAAATAAACAAGAACTAGTAAGAAAAATGGAAGAAAACCCAGAGGGGTGTGTATATACATATGTGCTTGTACATGTATGTTTAGTGTGACCTAAGTGTAAGTAGAAGTAGCAAGACGTACCTGAAATCTTGCATGTTCATGAGACAGAAAAAAGGACACCAGCAATCCTACCATCATGTAAAACAATTACAGGTTTTCGTTTTGCACTCGCTTGGCAGGACGGTAGTACCTCCCTGGGCAGTTGCTGTCTACCAACCTACCACCTAGGATATATATATATATATATATATAGTGTTGGAGTGGTTGGTACTTTTGTTTAATAAATGTATGAAAGAGGGGAAGGTACCTAGGGATTGGCAGAGAGCATGTATAGTCCCTTTATATAAAGGGAAAGGGGACAAAAGAGACTGTAAAAATTATAGAGGAATAAGCTTACTGAGTATACCAGGAAAAGTGTACGGTAGGGTTATAATTGAAAGAATTAGAGGTAAGACAGAATGTAGGATTGCGGATGAGCAAGGAGGTTTTAGAGTGGGTAGGGGATGTGTAGATCAGGTGTTTACATTGAAGCATATATGTAAACAGTATTTAGATAAAGATAGGGAAGTTTTTATTGCATTTATGGATTTAGAAAAGGCATATGATAGAGTGGATAGAGGAGCAATGTGGCAGATGTTGCAAGTATATGGAATAGGTGGTAAGTTATTAAATGCTGTAAAGAGTTTTTATGAGGATAGTGAGGCTCAGGTTAGGGTGTGTAAAAGAGAGGGAGACTACTTCCCGTAAAAGTAGGTCTTAGACAGGGATGTGTAATGTCACCATGGTTGTTTAATATATTTATAGATGGGGTTGTAAAGGAAGTAAACGCTAGGGTGTTTGGGAGAGGGTGGGATTAAATTATGGGGAATCAAATTCAAAATGGGAATTGACACAGTTACTTTTTGCTGATGATACTGTGCTTATGGGAGATTCTAAAGAAAAATTGCAAAGGTTAGTGGATGAGTTTGGGAATGTGTGTAAAGGTAGAAAGTTGAAAGTGAACATAGAAAAGAGTAAGGTGATGAGGGTGTCAAATGATTTAGATAAAGAAAAATTGGATATCAAATTGGGGAGGAGGAGTATGGAAGAAGTGAATGTTTTCAGATACTTGGGAGTTGACGTGTCGGCGGATGGATTTATGAAGATGAGGTTAATCATAGAATTGATGAGGGAAAAAAGGTGAGTGGTGCATTGAGGTATATGTGGAGTCAAAAAACGTTATCTATGGAGGCAAAGAAGGAATGTATGAAAGTATAGTAGTACCAACACTCTTATATGGGTGTGAAGCTTGGGTGGTAAATGCAGCAGCGAGGAGACGGTTTTGGGGGCAGTGGAGATGTCCTGTTTAAGGGCAATGTTTTGGTGTAAATATTATGCAGAAAATTCGGAGTGTGGAAATTAGGAGAAGGTGTGGAGTTAATAAAAGTATTAGTCAGAGGCAGAAGAGGGGTTGTTGAGGTGGTTTGGTCATTTAGAGAGAATGGATCAAAGTAGAATGACATGGAAAGCATATAAATCTATAGGGAAGGAAGGCGGGGTAGGGGTCGTCCTCGAAAGGGTTGGAGAGAGGGGGTAAAGGAGGTTTTGTGGGTAAGGGGCTTGGACTTCCAGCAAGCGTGCGTGAGCGTGTTAGATAGGAGTGAAATGGAGACGAATGGTAATTGGGACCTGACGATCTGTTGGATTGGTGAGCAGGGTAATATTTAGTTGAAGGGATTCAGGGAAACGGTTATTTTCATATAGTCGGACTTGAGTCCTGGAAATGGAAGTACAATGCCTGCACTTTAAAGGAGGGTTTAGGATATTGGCAGTTTGGAGGGATATGTTGTGTATCTTTATATGTGTATAGCATATGTGTATTTGTATTGTATGTGTAATGTATTGTAATGTGTATGTATTGTATGTGATATGTATATGTGTATATAATATATATATATATATATATATATATATATATATATATATATATATTATATAATATATATATATATATATATATATATATATATATATATATATATATATGCAGTTTGGAGGGATATGTTGTGTATCTTTATACGTATATGCTTCTAAACTGTTGTATTCTGAGCACCTCTGCAAAAACAGTGATAATGTGTGAGTGTGGTGAAAGTGTTGAATGATGATGAAAGCATTTTCTTTTTGGGGATTTTCTTTCTTTTTTTGGGTCACCCTGCCTCGGTGGGAGACGACCGACTTGTTGGAAAAAAAAAAAAAATATGTTTCCATAGACAGGGATATCATATCTCAAAGCTAAAAATTTCTAAATACTTTATATTTGTAAAGTGATAAACAAGAGTGTGTTGCTCTGTGGTTTATCCATTTTTGTGGGAGAAATCAAAGATATTAGACATGCTATTTCTTTTTCAGGTTGCAGCAGTAGAAAGAAAAGGTGGTTATAATCAGCTATGTGACATTTGGGCAGTTGGAATAACAGCCATTGAGTTGGCAGAGCTTCAGCCACCTATGTTCGATCTACATCCTATGCGAGCGCTTTTTCTCATGTCTAAAAGTGGGTTCAAGCCTCCAACCCTAAAAGATAAATCCAAGTGGACTCAAAATTTTCATCATTTTGTAAAGGTAAGCTAATATATAAATAAAAAAGATAATTTTGTGAAGCAAGCAGATATGTCATGGCCTCTCTTAACATGGAAACCATTATTGACTGGTTACGATCGCTCCACCATCCTCTTTTTTTTTTTTTCTTAACCTGTTTCTTTACTGTGACTTCTTCTTTTGTGGGCTAAGCAAACCATTGTATGGAATTGTTCAGTAATTTTCTTTTAGTTTCTCTTTCTGAGGTCTTTAACACTAGAAGCCGTTTGAATTGTTTGGGGAAAATTTATCATAAGGACAACTGTGTAGGAAGAAGTACTATATGAAGAGTGAACAAGGCATTACAAGTGAAGATTGATATTGTGTATTCAAAATAACTAGAAAAAAAATTTATAAATTTACATTTATTTGCTTTGTATTGCAAAGGAAAGTCTATGGATATGTGTAAGAAAAAATATTGTACAAACAAAGAATGGATATTTTTAATGAATCATGATAACTTTATTTACTGTTACTGTTATAGCGCTTATTATTGTTTTGTTGAAGATTTTTAAGGTGGGAGTTCAAATGATATTTTTAAGTGTTTATTTCATTCACACAAATATCAGTGAGAGCTGAATTCTTGTTCAGAAAAAAATAATTTTCCTTTATAATTTTTTTTTTCTCCAGCAAGTCAGCCGTCTCCCATCAAGGCAGGGTGACCCATAAAGAAAGAAAATCCCCCAAAGGAAAATACTTGCATCATCATTCATCACTTTTACCTCACTTACACATAATCACTGCCTTTGCAGAGGCGCCCAGATAAACAGTTTAGAAGCATATATAAAAATATATAACATACCCCTCTAAACTGTCAATATCCCAAACCCGTCCTTTAAAGTGCAGGCATTGTACGTATTTCCCATTTCCAGTACTGAAGTCCGGCTATATAAAAATAACCGGTTTCGCTAAATCACTTCACTAAATATTACCCTACTCACACTCCAACAGCTCATCAGGTCCCAAAAACCATTCATCTCCATTCACTCCTATCTAACATGTTCACACATGCTTGCTGGAAGTCCAAGGCCCTCGCTCACAAAACCTACTTTACCCCTTCCCTCCAACCTTTTCTAGGATGACCCCTACCCCGCGTTCCTTCCCCTACAGATTTATAAGCTCTCCATGTTATTCTACTTTGATCCATTCTCTCTAAATGACCAAACCACCTCAACAACCCCTCTTCAGCCCTCTGACTAATACTTTTAGTAACTCCAAACCTCCTCCTAATTTCCACACTCCGAATTCTCTGCATAATGTTTACACCACACGTTGCCCTTAGACAGGACATCTCCACTGCCTTCAGCTGCCTCGTCACATTTCATACATTCCCTTCTTTGCCTGCATGGATAACATTTTTTGTCTCCACTTATACCTCAACACACCACTCGCCTTTATTCCTTCATCAATTCTTTGGTTAACCTCATCCTTCATAAACCCATCCGCTGAAAAGTCAACTCCCAAATATATGAAAACATTCACTTCTTCCATACTCCCTCTCTCCAATGTGATATCCAATTTTTCTTTTATCTAAATCATTTGATACCCTCATCATCTTACTCTTTTCTATGTTCACTTTGAACTTTCTACCTTTACACACCCTCCCAAACTCGTCCACTAACCTTTCCAACTTTTCTTTAGAATCTCCCATAGGCACAGTAGCATCAGCAAAAAGTAACTGCATCAACTCCCATTTTGTATTTGATTCCCCCTAATTTAATCTCACCCCTCTCCCCAACACCCTAGCATTTACTTCTTTTACAACCCCATCTATAAATATATTAAACAACCTTGGTGACATTACACATCCCTGTCTAAGACCTACTTTTTCCGGGAAGTAATTTCCTTCTCTCCTACACACCCTAACCTGAGCCTCACTATCCTCATTAAAGCTCTTTACAGCATTTATTAACTTAATACCTATTCCATGTACTTGCAACATCTGCCACACTGCTCCCATATCCACTCTATCATATGCCTTTTCTAAATCCACAAATGCAATGAAAACTTCCCTACCTTCATCTAAATACTGTTCACATATTTTCATCAATGTAAAGACTTGATCTACACATCCCCTACCAAATCTAAGGCCTCCTTGCTCATCTGCAGTCGTCCTCTCTGTCTTACCTTTAATTCTTTCAGTAATAACCCTACCGTACTCTTTTCCAGGTATACTCAGTAAACTTATTCCCCTATAATTTTTACAGTCTCTTTTGTCTTTCTTCTCTTTATATAGAGGAACCGTACATGCTCTCTGCCAATCACTAGGTCCCCTCCCCTCTTTCATACATTTATCAAACAAAAATACCAACCACTCCAACACTATATACCCTGCAGCTTTAGACATTTCTGTCATGATCCTGTCAGTTTCAGCTTCTTTACCCCCTTTCATTCTACGTAATGCCTCATGCACCTCCTGCACACTCACATCCTGCTCTTCTTCACTCCTAAAAGATGTTGTACCTCCCTGGCCAGTGCATGAAATTACCGCTTCCTTTTCTTCATCGACATTTAAAAGTTCCTCAAAATATTCCCACCATCTACCCAGTACCTCCAGCTCCTACTCTACTAACTCCCCTACTTTGTTTTTAACTGACAAATCCATTCGTTCCCTAGGCTTTCTTAACTTGTTTATCTCCAAAAATTTTTCTTATTTTCATCAAAATTTCTTGCAATGCCTCTCGCATTCTATCATCTGCTCTTCTTTTGCACTCTCTCACCACTCTCTTCACCTTTCTTTTACTCTCCATATACTCTGCTCTTCGTATAACACTTCTACTTTGTTAAAATCTCTCATAAGCTACCTTTTTCTCTTTTATCACACCCTTTACTTCATCATTCCACCAATCACTCCTCTTTCCTGCTGACCTTCCTCCTATAGTCACAGATTTCTGCCCCACATTCTAATGCTGCATTTTTAAAACTATTCCAACCTTCTTCAATGCCCCTCCCCCCCCTTCCCCACTACTCATACTTGCTCTAGCCCACCTTTCTTCCAGTAGTTGCTTATACCTCACCCCAACTTCATCCTCCCTTAGTTTATACACCTTCCCATCTACCTCTTACTCTAACTGTAGCTACAACTAAATAATGATCTGATATATCAGTTGCCCCACTATAAACAGGTACATCCTGGAGCCTACCCATCAACCTTTTATCCACCAATACATAATCTAACAAACTACTTTCATTATGTGCTATATCTTACCTTGTATATTTATTTATCCTCTTTATCATAAAATATGTATTACTTATTACCAAACCTCTTTCTATACATAGCTCGATTAAAGGCTCCGCATTTTCATTTACCCCTGGAACCCCAAATTTACTTATTACTCCCTCCACATTTTTACCCACTTTAGCATTGAGATCCCCAACCACAAGTACTCTGTACTGTCTCACTTGGTTCAAAACTCCCCATGCACTTGCTCAACATTTCCCAGAATCTCTCTCACTCTCTCCTCTACACTTGTCTTTTATACAGGTGCATAAACACTTACTATAACCTACTTTTCACATCCAACCTTATTTTACTCCCTATAATCCTTGAATTTATACATTTATATTCCCACTTTTCCTGCCATAACTTATCCTTCAACATTATTGCTACTCCTTCTTTAACTCTAACTCTGTTTGAAACCCCTGACCTAATCCCATTTATGTATCCCCACTGAAACTATGCCACCTCTTCAGCTTTGTTTCACTTAAAGCCAGAACATCCAGCTTCTTCTCATTCATAACACCCACAATCATTTCTTTCTTATCATTCGCACAAGATCCACTCACATTCAAACATCCCACTTTGACGGTTTTCTTCTAATTCTTTTTATTAGGCTATATGGGAAAAGGCGTTACTAGCCCATTGTTCCCGGCATTATAGTTGACTTTTACAACACATATGGCTTACGGAGGAAAGATTCTTATTCAACTTTCCCATGGATATGAAAGGAAAAGCAATAAGAACAAGAACTATAAAGATAAAATCAAAGAAACTCAGATGAGTGTGTATACATAAACGTGTATATGAATGTGTAGCATGACCTAAGCGTTAGTAAAAGTAGGAGGCCCTACCTGAAGTCTTTCATGTTTTTTAGCCATAAAAAAAGATACAAGCAATCATACCATCTGTAAAACAAATACAGGCTTCCTTTTTACACTCACAGTAGTACCTCCCAGGATGGTTGCTGTCTACCAACCTACTACCTATAAATCTTTCAACACACCGGCCGTATCCCACCGAGGCAGGGTGGCCCAAAAGGAAAAACAAAAGCTTCTCCTTTTACATTTAGTAATATATACAGGAGAAGGGGTTACTAGACCCTTGCTCCTGGCATTTTAGTCGCCTCTTACAACACGCATGGCTTACGGAGGAAGAATTCTGTTCCACTTCCCCATGGAGATAAGAGGAAATAAACAAGAACAAGAATTACCAAGAAAATAGAAGAAAACCCAGAGGGGTGTGTGTATATACGCTTGTACATGTATGTGTAGTGTGACCTAAGTGTAAGTAGAAGTAGCAAGACGTACCTGAAACCTTGCATGTTTATGAGACAGAAAAATGGACACCAGCACTCCTACCATCATGTAAAACAATTACTGGCTTTCGTTTTACACTCACTTGGCAGGACTGTAGTACCTCCCTGGGTGGTTACTGTCTACCAACCTACTACCTATAACTACCTATAAATATCAGATAAAATTAGATTTGGCAATAAAATAATTTGTGAGGCATCAGTTTTTGCACTCGCATAGTAAAATTCAGGACCTTTTAAAAGGGAAGAAAGAGGAGAGTCGTTACCCTAGATCCTCTAAGGCATAAACAACTTTTTAGGTTGATCTTTAGTCAAGATACTTCATGAAAACACTTTGTTCTCCTTTCTTTTTCTTAACTTTTTCCTTCATTTTATTAATCTTTGTTCAAGCTGAGAATAAAAGATATTGATATGATGGTTATCATGATTAATTGATGTTCTTTATTTTTTTAGCTGGCTTTAACAAAAAACCCCAAGAGAAGGCCAACAGCCGATAAATTACTTCTACATCCTTTTGTAGCTGCAGATCTTCCCAAATGGTTGGCAGTGGAGTTGTTACAAAAGGCTCACAATCCTCAGCATTCATTCCCACCTGAGCTGGAGGTAAGAAATTGTATAGTTGTTTCATGCTCTTGACTCTTAAGAAAAGTTTATTAGGCATAAGGATTTTACAGGAAAATAATATACAGTTCATGTAAGAATGTAGTTTACCTGGAGAGAGTTCCGGGGGTCAACGCCCCTGCGGCCCGGTCTGTGTAGGTAAATCTTTTTTTTTTTTAACACACCTGTCTCCCGCTGAAGTAGGGTGACCAAAAGAAGAAGAAACACTTTCACCATCACACTCTCCAACGCTGTTTTGCTAAAGTCATAACAATACCACAGTTCAGATACCATTCCAAACTGCAAATATACCCACCCCTCCTTCAGAATGCAAGCACTGCTTCTAATCTTCAGGCCTTAAGTTCAGCTTACCATTTTCCCCAAATCCCTTCATAAATGTTACCTTGCTCATACTCCCAGAGCACGCCAAGTCATAAAAACCACTTGCCTCCACTCGCTCCTATTTAACATGTTTATACACACGTCATCCTGTTTTGTTTATACCCTGTAAATGTCCAACCCACCTCAGCAACCCCTCCCGAGCCCTCTGGATAATACTTTTAGTAACTCTGCACCTCTTCCTAATTTCTTGTGCTAGATTAAAAGATAAAGTTATAGTCAGGAAAGAGTACTGTTTAGTTTTACGTTATTGAGCAGTACCAGCATTAATTGAAACTCTCATATAATTGAGAGCAACATACTGATACTGTACATATTACTGAGGTAAGAAAATGTCAATATAAAGGTGTGACCTGCTATTTTCAGTTGTAGTTAATGAGAAAAATTAGTTAAAACAGTACCAAGTTGTTGATAATATATTCAGTCATGTAATTCCATAATAATTTTATTATTATTTTAGAAAATTATTATTAATGTGCAAACACTTGGATTTCTATAAGTTTATTTAATAATTTTTATATAATAAGTTAATGCTTTTACTATTATTAGATGGATGAAGAAGGAGCTGTTACTAATGTTCCTCAGAGAATAACCTCAAGAACACCAACGCGACCCAAACAAAGAACCAAGTCAGAACTACACAGTAAGCTACTCTCTCTTCTCTTTAATGTTTAGGTTTAGATTTTTACTGATAATGTGTACAGTAAACCCTTGGCATTCATAAAAGGTGTGCTTAACAAAAAATATGAGTAGAAGGATGTAAATTTAGTGGAAAATAGGTTTGATCCTTTCACTGTTGCAACCCCTGCTCGCAAACTTGCTCTAAGTGTCAAGAAATTTAAAAAAAAATTATTTTTTTCTTATGAAATGATAGAGAATCTTTTTCCGATGGTAATGAAACCAAAAGTACAAAATTTGATGGAAAACTTAGGGAATTGCACTCTTGTAAAGTTAGCAGTCTCAGCGATATTTATGCATCGGCGATTTCGCCCACTTTGAGCCCTACTTTGGGCCAGTTCCATTATTCCTGTTGCCTATATTCATAACTTTTTCGCTAACACTCCTTTTGTTCTATCAGTTGAGTGCAAGAAACTGCCCATTTACCTATTTCAACTACCCAGTAAAGTGATCAGAAACTGGTAATTTGGCAAATTTCATACAAAATTCAAGAAAGGCTAATTTCAAAATAGGGTCCAGGATAAACAATGCAAACATTCCTAGCACTAAAATAACATTTTTTCTGTTCATTAGTCATATCTCCAGGCCCCTCATATATTACTCTTGCTTTCCATTTTGAATTTTTATTCACACAAAAAATAGAGTATTTACTGTTATGCAGACTACTGCATTACTGTAAAAATGGCATAAATATTATCAGCACATTTGTTAAAGCATATTAGACTCACCAGTTGATGTGTATTGGACACGTGATGTGATTTGTTTACTCATAAGAACATAAGAAAGAAGGAACACTGCAACAGGCCTACTGACCCATGCGTTTCAGGTACATGCCCCCCTTTCCCCGGATTAGACCAATGACCCCCCCCCGATTAGCCCAGTCTGGTCACCTCCACTCAAGGAAGGAGCACTGCACCAGACCCAGCAGCACAAGCTAGTCAGGTCCAACTCACACCCACCCACACCCACTCATGTATTTATCTAACCTATTTTTAAAACTACACAACGTTTTAGCCTGAATAACTGTACTCGGGAGTTTGTTCCACTCATCCACAACTCTATTACTAAACCAGTGCTTTCCTATATCCTTCCTGAATCTGAATTTTTCCAACTTGAAACCATTGCTGCGAGTCCTGTCTTGGCTGGAAATTTTCAGCACGCTATTTACATCCCCTTTATTTAATCCTGTTTTCCATTTATACACCTCGATCATATCCCCCCTAATTCTACGCCTTTTGAGAGAGTGCAGATTCAGGGCCCTCAGTCTATCCTCATAGGGAAGATTTCTGATACATGGGATCATCTTTGTCATCATCCTCTGTACATTTTCCAGAGCATTTATATCCATTCTGTAATACGGTGACCAGAACTGAGCAGCATAGTCTAAATGAACATTGTCAAAAATCGAACATTTCCACTACTTTGAGCTCACTTTTAAGCTACTCTTGTTCTGTAAACCAATCAAAATCATCTCTATTTCTGTATATCTTCCATTCTATCAAATGAGACCAAGAAAATGAGAATATAACAATAAATACCATACAAAAATACACCGCAAAGTCGCTGTTTTAAACCAAAAACACGATTGCAGTTTTTTCTCATGCACTGCATGCTGCAGGGTTTTTTTTTTCTGTGCACACTGACCACTCAGACCCATTCTCTCATATGTAGGCCTACCAGCTTTCTCCTGCAAGATTGGAAGCTGCTTGAATTTTGGTTTAGTATTACATAACCGACACTGGCTTCGAAGCCGTAAAATTAAAGGACTGATAATGAAAGGGTTAATGACCAAGGTGTGCAGAGGATCCCACTTCTTTAATCCTTGAACTGTCCGAATGTAGATATACAATTTTACTGCTAGTGCTCCGAATATTAAAAAAAATAAGTTTTTAAAACAGAGGGCAATTTTCTGTTTGTAATAAGACCAAAAACAAAAAAATTATTCCCAGTGCTTATTTAGATACAAGGCAGCAAAGTTGGCATTGGATGCTCACCTGATGGCAACATGGAGACCTGCCATTTGCAGAAATGTTGCTAATTTAACTTTTTTTTTTTTTTAGTTTATGTATTTTTTATGTTTTATGTTCTGATAATTGCAATTTATAGTAGATCTTGTGATATTATAGCCAGTCTTTGTTCTTACATAAATATTAGGTATGGATGTAGTAGTGAAACAGTCACAGACACATTGACAGGTGAACATGTTCACCTGCCTTGGTCATATACTATTGTCTAGAAATATATACAAATTATTTATAGGTCCCAGCAGTGTTTTTAGAAGTGCTGGAGTATATGAAATTTGTTGAAGCAGTGTCAGACAGAGTGGCACTCTAAATTGCTGATGGTGCAGTCACTCAACATTGCTGTACCATCAGCACTGCCCCCAGTGAGCCTTGGCATGTTTTCTGTTTGTTCTCACTGTTCCACACACAAGCATGACTGTCTCTTGTCTATGTTTGTGTCTGTCTATTTCTGTCTGTCTACCTGTCTCTCTGTCTGCCTCTCTCTGCCTCTGTCTCTCTCCACTTGTTTCCCTCTCTGTCTCAAAGAGAGAGCCATTCATGAACCTGATCGTAAGCTAGACTTTGGAACAGGTCTTAAACAAGTTGCAGAATTGTCACATCTTCACAAGTGGAAACATACAACTGTTTCCAAAATGTGTTTTATTCACCACAGTAATGGTGAACAGCACTTTGGCTTTTTTGGGTTATCCTAGGTAACTTATACTATGTATGATAACTGTGCATAAATAAACTTACTTAGTCCTTAATTCTGTTCAAGGGACCCCTGTCATTCAAGCAATTATGTTTGCTTTGTATATATTTCTTGAAGCACAGGCATCCCTTGAACAGAATCAAAGACTAAGTTTATTTAGGTACAGGTACACATAAGTACAGTCATACAGTGTAAATTACCTAGGATAATCCAAAAAAAAAGTCTAAATGCTATACTGTGACTGTGCACACTGAGTGCTAAGACCCATTCTATACTGCCTAGGCCTATCAGGCCTCTAATGCCAAATATAAAGGCAGGAAAAATAAAACATTGATCTTCATTTTGAATGCTAGTAGTAAGAACATAGATCTATATTTGGACAGTTAAAGGGTTAAACCTTCAAGGAGTACTAGGATAGGCTTAGCCCTGAAATCTTATCATTTCACTAATTATTTTTTAACAAATTTAGTTTTCTGTTATGTGTTTCAGGATGTTATACTGTATGGACATAGGTAAAAAGGCACTGCTTGTGGCATCATGTATTTTTTTTTTTTTTTTTTTTTTTTTTTTTTTAGTAGAGACGAGCTTGAGAAATATGGGGAAAGTGTATAATAGATGCAGCGAAAAGTAGGGGTGCCATGGGCATAATTTGTGGTTCAAGATTATCCAGGCTACTACTAGTACAGTGGTCCCTCAATAATCGTCCGGCCTGAAAGTATTCCATTTCGGAAATAGTCCTGTTTTTTCGTTTAAATATTGGCTCGCAAATGGTCCATTAACTCGCTAATCGTTCTTCGTCCGGGACGGGTACTCACGCTCTGAGCCGCCTGGGCCTGCCTTCCCAGTCAGTGTGCCATTGTTTACCAGTGAGTGACGGTCCCCTCACATGCTCCTACGAAATATTTCATAATATTCCATTGATTTTAGTGCTTGCAAGTGCTAAATAAGCTACCATGGCTGCAAAGAAAGTTTCTAGTGCCAGCCCTTTGGTAAAGAATGTGAGAAACACACAATTTATGAAAAAGTTTGTAGAAAAATACAAACATGGTGGTGGTAGAGTGGAAGCAGGTGTGATAGTGGTTGATGAACATAAGAACGTAAGAACATAAATAAGAAAGGAGGATCACTGCAGCAGGCCTGTTGGCCCATGCTCGGCAGGTTCTTTACAATTCATCCCACTAACGAAACATTTTCCCAACCCAGTCCTCAATGCTACCCAAGAAATAAGCTCTGATAACTCTATCCACTCATTTGGGACTTTTTCATAAATTATGTGTTTCTCACATTCTTTACCAAAGGGCTGGCACTAGAAGCTTTCTTTGGTGGTAGTGATGGTGGTAGAAGGTAGTAGTGATGGTGGTAACAGTTGTAATAGTGGTAGAAGGTCGTAGTGATGGTGGTAGAGGGTTCCTTCTTTAGTGATTCAGCGATTCTACCAACTCCTCCAATGTTGTTGGAGTTATATAGGGCTACAGAAAACACCGCCGCCTCACCACCATTATGGACGGCTTATACTCAGTGGCCCTTATATACCCAACAAAAACACAACACAACACCTCTCGTGACATACGTAATGACTTATTTTATTCATTCTAGAGTATATTCCATGTTTCTATGTTATTAATATTGTTTATTATGTCATATTAGTTGAATTGTGATAGATAAATAAGCCATAGAGTTGATATTAGTGTCATATTCTCCAACAATAAACTTGCCATCCCTCCCTCACACAAACAAATAGCCAGTAAGAACATAATGGAAGAACACTGTAGGTCTACTGGCCCATACAAGGCAGGTCCTTATCAAAATGACCTCTACCCAAAGCTACCCAAGAATTTACTCCCGTACCCAATGACACAAATCAAACTCAGCTCCTCCAACTCATATATTTGTCCATTCTCTTCTTAAAGCTACCCAAGGCCCTAGCCTCGATCACCCTACTGGTAAGTGTGATGTTAAATAAGAACTTAAGAAAGTAGGAACACTGGAACAGGCCTGCTGGCCCATACTAGGCCGGTTCTTCACAAATCCAACCCACTAACAGAACAAATGCTACCCAAGCAATAAACTCAGGTGCAAGTCCGACTCAAATCCAACCCCTTTCATTCGTGTATTTATCCAACCTAAATTTGAAACTACCCAAGCCATAGCTTTTAGAAAATTGGAAAGGAGGAACACTGCAATAAGCCTGTTGGCCCATACTAGGCCGATCCTTCACAAAATCCAACCCACTAACAGAACAGATGCTAC